CTAACTCGACTTATATGCTCTAGGAAATTTTGGGGTATTACACATCACTACTATCATTATCCTCAACATATGTTTCTATGTTTTCTTCTTCTGATGTCTCAAAATCTTCCCATTCTCCTTCTTCATCCTCTTCCCCAACCCCCTCCCCAACATCAGCTTCTTCATGTATTTCAATAAACCTCCCATCAAAATATTGCATAGGTTCATAAGCAATGTCATCAATATTTATTTGTTGAGGAATATGAGGCTCATTGTCTTGGAAATATGGTGTCAATCCTTCTTGTTGGTCATCTTTATTCTCAGCTTTAATTTTAAGTGCAGCAATCCATCCCCTTTTTTCATGATTAATAGATGGGTATGGTGTGCAATAAACTTGCCTTGCCTGACTAGCAAAAATGAAAAGCTCATAAGATCGAAGGTATCTTTTAGGATTAATATCAACCAATTGATGGTTTTGATCCACTTGAACCCCTTGAGTGGGAGGAATCTCATACTAATCACATTTGAATAAAACAACTGCCTGTCGATGGATCGATCCATAATACTCAATCTGAATTATTTCTTGAAGCACACCATAAAAATCATAATCTAATTCAGTACTAATAGATCCGACAACACAAACACCATAATTCATTGTTCGCTTATTTCTACCATAGAGGGTAGTGTGAAATCGGAATCCATTGACAATATGCCCATTATAGCAAGAAACATAATTTTTTGGACCACTGGATAAACCTTTGATATGCTCATGGATATTAATGAATTCATCACTAATTACCTAAAATATATAGATTGCAGAAGAAAATGTTAAATGCAGTTGAAGAGATATAACATATATATGTTAAGGAATTGAATAGTCATGTTATTAAATACTCACAGCTTGTTCAAATCAGGGCACAAGGTCTCTCTCTCGTTTTGCTTGAATTTGTTGAGGATTCATATTTTGACATTGTTCTCTCTCAAATAAATTAGAAAATATGATAATAGTTTTTTATATATTGTTAGTATTTTAATTTCAATAAACCTTAATATAACAAATTAAAGATTTTAGTGTAGGTTTTTTACCTGACTCATCCTCGTAATTCTTTGCAATTCATTAACACATAGTAAGAAGCAGCTTTGTGTTCCTCTACTGTCAAGCAACGTCTTCCAATTTTGGAACCAATATGTTTTCCAACACATTTAAAGATGGATAGGCCACTATTCTCACCAAATCCAACAACAATATTCCTAGGGGGATTATCAAGTGTACTATGTACTCCATCATCAAATTAATGAAAGATAAAATTTGTGATCTCAAACATTATGTAACTTTCACATATGGATGCTTCAGGACACGCTTTGTTTTTCACTGTCAACTTAAGACAATGCATTCACCTGATTCACCAAGAATTATTATATAATTATGTTATGATTAAAATACTAATGTGGTACCTTAACTTCTAAGTTTGTATCAAATATACTCTCAAAATTTTAAAAAGTTTCAAAATGGTACTTGAAAGGACCATTTTTAATTCTTTTTTAACTTCAATGGTAGCTTTGATATAAAATTGAAAGTTGAAGTACCAAATTGGTATTCTAACCTCAATGCAACAACATATCATATATGGAGTTATATTTATTTTCATATATTATACATTAATTATATTTACCTCTTAAATGGATACATCCATTGAAATTGCACCGATCCTCCTACACGAGCAGGTGGACTATAAGATGCTCTATACTGTCAAAGAATGAAGGTGGAAAGATTCACTCTAGCTTACAAATGATTTCTACTATCCTCTCCTGCCATATTGCCATGTCATTGACTTGAATCACCGGAGCACACAAGGCCCTAAAGAACTCACTAATCTCAACAAGTGGCTCCCAAACTTGTTTCGGTAATAAATCATGAAATGCAATTGGTATAAGGCTTTGCATGAAAATGTGACAATCATGACTCTTCATATCAAATAATCATGCCTCTTGTGTATTGACACACCGAGATATATTGGAGGCAAATCCATCAGGGAATTTAAGTTCCTTTAACCATTGGCATATTGATTTTCTTTTATCCTTACTAAGAACATAAGTGGCCTTTGGTTTTTTACTCGAATTTAGTCCTGTTTTCTGTATGTGCAGACTTTTCCTTTTACAATACAATTCTAGATCAAGTCTTGCATTTATGTTATCTTTTGTCATAGAGCCATCCATTACTGTATGAAGGATATTGTCAAAAAAGTTTTTCTCACAGTACATGACATCTAAATTGTGTCGAATCAAGTTTGTCTACCAATATGGTAATTCCCAAAACATGCTCTTTTTAACCCAATTGTGCACTTCACCAAATCCATGGATTTCCTGTTTCTGAGGTGGCTTACCAAATAGTACATCAGGCAGCCAATGGATGCGACTATGCATCTCATCACCAGACAATCTCTCTGGCATTGTTCCATTCTCTATACGACCCTTTATGAAGTCATTCTTGCTTCTTCTAAATGGATGCTCCGGTGGCAAAAACTGTCGGTGACAGTCAAAAAATGATGTCTTTCGACTATTTTCCAACCAAAAGGCCTTCGAATTTTCCATGCAATAGGGACAAGCTAATTTACCACGTGTGCTCCACCCAGACAACATTCCATACCCAGGTAAGTCACTAATGATCCACATAAGTGCAGCCCTCATCAGAAAGTATTGATGCCTAAAGCTATCATAAGTTTGGACTCCAAAATACCAAAGCTGCTTTAAATCATCGATTAGTGGTTGAAGCATTGCATCAATATTCTTTCAAGGACTTTGAGGACCTTGGATAATCAATGCAAGGAATACATATTCTTGCTTCATGTACATTGTTGGAGGCAGGTTATAAACTGACACAAATACTGTCCAACAAGAGTATGGAGATGCAGAATGTCCAAAAGGAGTGAACCCATTAGTGCACAAACCTAACCTAACATTCCTCGGTTCACTAGCAAACTCAGGGTGAGTACTATCAAAATGCTTCCACGCCTCTCCACATGCAGGATGAAAAAATTTTCTCATTTTCATTATGACAATTTAAATGCCAGGTCATATGCTCGACAGTTTTCCTAGACATATACAATCTCTGAAGTCTAGGAATAATTGGAAGATACCACAAAGACTTGCTTAGTATAGGCTTAGCATAATGCACATCACACTGCTTAAATCATGGCTCTTCACATATCGGGCACTGTAAATAACACTGACTTTCATATTCTCTATAATACAAAATGCAATTGTTCACACAAATATCATACTTTTTATACCCGAGACCTAAACGTCTCAACATCTTCTTAGCACTATAATAATTTGTTGGTAGTTTCTCCCTATTAATTTTTTTGAAGGCCATTAGACTATGCTTTAGTACCTAGTCCCAATTAGTAACACTCATGTTAAAAAGTGTTTTTGCACTCATGAGCTCACACACCCACTTTAAGATAGTGACACCAGCATCACACCCTTTAAAAAAAGGTGTATCAGCTGCTCGCAAAAGATCAAAGAACTCTTTTGCATCTCCTCTTGGCTCCTTAAATATCGATTCTGTATTGACACCATATGGATCACCAAAATTAGCATCAAATTGTGTTGCATCTTCTACCCCTATGGCACTATTTTCATTATTAAAAAAATTTGGTCCCATGGCATCATGAAGCATGTCTCTGAGTTGATCGACACTTGGAACATTATTCATAGCAACAGCAACAATAGCAGCGGCACTTGATGATTCACCCACTTGGATGCGACTTCGTTTTCTATGAATAATTTCTCCATGTCTTTTCCAAATACAATACCCATCCATGAAGCCGTTCCTAATAAGATGAGATTGCACTTTGCGTCGATGATGCCATTCTCTATTCCAACACTTATTACACGGACAACTTATCATATTCTTTGCACAAAACATCGAGTACGTTTGTGAGAATGCAAAATCTAAGAAAATCTCTACCCCAGCGTTAAATTCATTGTTCTAATACCCCATTTCATCTTGACGATAATACATCCAACTCTGATCTTCTCCCATAATTAAGTAATATGTGCTTTAAAAATTCAATAATATCTTAATATTATATAACAAGCACTAGAATCATAAATATCAATTTTGGTCCATCAACTTTATGATTTTACACAATTTTCATCCCTCAACTTTTTTTTGCTCATATTGGTCCTTCAACTATGAATAATGTATATTTTTAGTTCTTCTATCAATTAAGTTTCTTTAGCGCATTGATAAAAGACTAAAAATGCAAATTACTCATAATTGAGGGACCAAAATGAGCAAAAAAAAGTTAAGGGACAAAAATTATGTAAAATCTTAAATTTGAGGAATCAAAATTAGCATTTATCCTTTTAAAATTACATATGCTACAATAATATATAATTACATTTTTAACCAACTAAAATCTACCTAATTTAATTCATCTTTATAATTAATTAAAAAATTATGAAAGTTAATTTGTTATACATTAATTATTATCATTTAATTTTATAAAATATAAATACAATAAGT